CACGTCAATACTGAAAAATTTTGTGTGTTTGCGATCTGGTAGGGCATAAACCAGCCACACTGGGAAAAATCTATCAACTACAAATCGATTATTAATATATTTTTTGAAAGTCAAAACAGTTATTGTAAGTTGAGCAGAAATATGCATGAATTGACGATCGGGTTCTCCATAATTCATTTACTGCATCACAGTTCCAGCAGTAGACGGGATGAGTAGAATTATTTATGCCTTTTGGTCAGACATATCTGTGCAGAAAGCACTTCAATTACAAACTCCAAACAAAAGGATATTTTTGTTGTAGATGACCACAGCTCTTTGGATGTGCCTTCATATTCTGTATCATTTGACCAATGGCCAGCTAAACATAATTTGGGGAATCGTTAGCATAACTTAGTGCTCATCCACTTACCACTAAAGTATGAAACGCGCGGTTCTGAAACCCATAAACGAGCCCAACGTAGTAAAGAATAAGCATAAGACAGAAAACCAGTAGTCAACCAGATAATCATTATCAGGTTTAATGACAATAAGCTTTCAAAACTTTAAAAGAGATATCAGTAACCATGCAGCAGATCAAATATTGTCTAACGCAGCCGAGTCACGGCCAACTTCCGCCTCTGTGTACAGTTGTCGAACTGGACATAAAGACATCATCTTTTCTATTAATCCCTGACGAAAGTATTTGCAAAAGTAATTCATCGCATCACCTACGCATGAGCAGTATGGATGAAAGATATGGACGAACGGTTTATAATCGGTCACGCGAAGAAACGGACGGACAAAAGCATTTCTCATAGTCCACATAGTAAAAAGCTACATAATTATGTTGTTTAACAAAAAATTAAACCATCACTGCGTTGTTCCTGGGGGAGGTACGAAAAATAACAGCTTTCTGATCCCGCCGCGTTCACATATTATCTTTTAACTACTGATACTGGATTTACGAAACGTACCATGTAGAGTTGCTTTTACTTTACAGCGATACTGCGGATGTGTAAGATGGATGGTAGTCATTATACCGGGTTATACCGCAGCACTTTTGGTAACTATCCCTGAACATACAATTATATTTTGTCTTGTTTTATGAATATTTGTCAATGGAAAATGAAAATTTGATTTGTGCTTCGCATGTCCTCATTTTACTCAATCCAGTGACGCGACATATGTGTCTGATGCCCAGCAGGCGCTTAAATGCCACAGAGAAATTACCTGTTCAAATGGTCTCCTTAGGCGACTAGAAGCAATGGAGGAGTGCTATTTTGCGGTACCACCCCTTTTAGTAACCACCATCCAAATTACGCAACAGCAGCATTGCCGTAAATCAAATTTTTGGTTTAAGTCCATGTAAAAGTTAACGCTGATTTAACCGACAAACACTAACGTGGTTTTTGTGAAATAAACATGTTTAATGCCATCAGTTGTCAATTTGTGATCAGGGTTACACATAAGCAACGTATATAACTTACCACTTATTACACAGAAAATATCGTATGCACATACCTCTACAAAAACCAATCAGAACGGTATTTCAAGATAGCTAGCTCGTCACGTACCACTTTTGGATAGACGTGATCGGGCTCAAGCAGCTAATCTCTGGGTGGTCCCACGGCGACGCCAGCCAGTCGAGCTTGAGTATGGGGCTTAATTGTCGGTTACTCGTCAGCGGTTCATTAAGACCGGAACTGACTTATTATTTCCGCATTGTGCGCAGCAGTGTAATAATGGGTATTGATTATCAAAAGGCATTCGCTTAGACAGACTGCTATTATTTATAAAATCGAAAATGTCACTTGCACTTCTCAAATTTGTCGAACGATAGAAATTCGTAGCAGCAGGAAATTTGAGGAAATATCACCTTATCCGTGCATAGGGGAGAAAATGGGAGAAGAAATGGAGGCTGGTTAATAGGAGCGAAACTGCTGACCTGTGGGAAGCATAGTGCTGAATAAAGAAGACTCCAGAGTGCTTTCAGAGAACAATGATTATTTGCAGCAATGGTAGATGAAAGCAAATCGAAATCCACATTAATATATCTTTCAGAATATGACACAAATGGAGTCAAACTCTGGCGAAAAATAAGTTAACTCTGTCCAGCTCTGTCCAGCAGATTGCATACTAGTCATATTACGTACTGAAATGAAAGCAAAATTCATCGTTCCTCTCAGACTCGACTCCATAAACCGTGAAACCTGGGAAAACTTAGTTGATTAAAGGGATTGCCAATTTAAGCCTTAGAAGTGGAGTGGAGCAAGCCATGCTAGAAAAGCGACTGGAAATTTTTATTTTTACCGTTGATATCGAAAGCTAGCAGTTTGTAGTAAACACATAATACCGGGATTAATTTGTGTCATATTTGCCTATGGGTCGAGGCGTTTTTCGTGGTATTAGGAACGGTTTTTGTTTTACTGTACAGACTGGTGCGGTTTAGCATCCATGCACTGCAGGTGCCAGAATACTACGGAGTCCGGCCTGTTTAAACCTATCCCTTAGGTTAAGGGTCTCCAAACTACGTCTTATATAAATTACCAGACTTTTGACTTGCTGGTGTCGAATCGGGCGTTCAACCCTTTCCGCGCTGTTCACGAGATGTAGCCAGTGGGAGGAGGAGCTTTGCGATCACCATGAAGTGATTCGAACCAATGCCAGCTTTTTGTTGTGCCCGGGTGTTATGAAGGATGCTTCGCCATTTCCTGCTGACAAATATGCCGTCCATCTGGCTTTTGAAGCGGTCGCCAGGCGCTGCCCAAGTCAGCTGTTGCATTTCGTGCTGGGGAAACAGCATCCCGTCGATGACATGGTTGTGCACGGAACAAGTCAGAGCGTTTGCTGCAAATTAACGTTGTTAATCATTATATACCATTTCTCAGTGTAAATGCAGCGTCCGTTCCCAGTAATTGTCATACTTCTTTTTTGTTCTGAAACATATCGTCCTCATTGCCCAGAAAGATCAAAATAAAACTTAACAGATTAAAATAAAAGTTAACTTGTCAAATAAAACAGAACTTCAATAAAGGTTGTTTATTCATTTATAAAATAGATTTTTGGCTTTGGCCCTAAAATATAGGCAAAATATGCAATGCGGCCCTCTTATTTAATAGTCTGGAGACCCCTGCCTTAGGCTAATAAAAGCAAGGGGACTGTGGAAGTGCGCCGCACGAAGAAGTGACACAAAATTATTTTCCCGGCGGAATAGTAAACAAGCAGTTTGCTAACAATGCCTCAAGACCAGAGCATATTTTTGGCGTATATGCCGGCGAATCGAGGAACATACAATGGTGTTCAATTCAATAATGAGGTGTTGCTTAATCCCTCCCATTGCAGATGCTGAAACTTGTTTAGAAATCGTCACCTGAAATTAACAGACCTTAAGCAGCAGAGTAACCCAGATTTACGATGTCTGGCCGTTGAGTGATAAAATACCATGGATCGCTGGCTTGCTAAAACAGACTTTACCGCTATTACAAACAAGAGGACGTTGCGACTACGCCGTATGAACATAGCGTGGCAGGAATATCCATTCTTCTTTGCGTAATGTTGGGTTCTATAAGTAAATATCATTCTGTTGGAATTTGCATACCATTCACGGTGTCAACGTATTCCAGTTCAACCACTTCCGGCACCGCGAATTCAATTCCATCCGGGTCGAGATCGAAGAAATGAGACCTACAACGAGTCTCCCAGCTCTTCCTCTGAAGTCATGTAACACCCTCAAACTCTGGCTGCAATAATAAATTCCAACAGGCTCTAACAATGGATTTCTGTCATACTTCAAGAAATGAAACCATACTTCAAAGCAGAATAAATTATTTGCAGGACTTAAATGATGTCATCGAACGCTTGCCCCTTGCAGGGTAGTTCCTTTTAGCCGTGTTCAGAGATAGTCTGTTCATTCAATATCTCCTCATCGATTCGCCCTGACACGGAAATCGAAGTTTCGTCACGTCTCAAGATCTTGATCACCAGTATATACTTCTGACAGTAGAAATGCCACACCGCAGAGCCAACGTTCCTTTTGGTATCCAGTGATCATGACGTGCTCCTCATTGTAACTTTTGACTGCGACGGCATTGTTTTATTTGGACAATAAAACACATACAAATACTTTAAGCCGAAAGCACTGGTTCTTACAGAGTGACGGCCTGTTTTGTTTCGTTCGTCATTCGCATGGGCAATGTTATGCTGTTTTTTTCTGGTTGTGTTCCAGGGGGCAATCAGTTTCCATGATTACGTTCGTTCCTTCTTTGTTATCATATGAAAAGCGCTGGAATAAAGACGTGTCAATACGCCTAACGCCCAACGTGGGACACACCTGCCGCACGCTGGCTGAAGTTATCAGCCAGAGTAACTGTTCTGACATGTAACGGAGCCGCAACATCGGAAATAATACACGAAAGAAAATAATACACGAAATGTGCACTGCACATAACTCACTGTCGAAGTAGTGATCCTAAGCTTATGCATGGTCATGACAAAAATTCTGTATAATGAGAACGCAGTACGTAATGAAAAGATGCATAAACAATGTTTTATAAATTATAGGCCACGAAAATTGTTCTTTTATAAGACGACAGATCACTAGCAAACCTTTCTACCCATATCCTTTCGAAATTTCGTAATGTCATTTTTGTCGTATGCAGCAACAAGAACGCTTAGATCCGTACGGCTAGCGTTAGGCCGATGCTACCAAAGTTTCTCTGCAAAGTGAGCCAATACTCACATCTTCTACCAGAGTGATACTTTCAAAGAAAAGGGTCAATAATAAGTCTAATAAACATAATTCGGCCAAACTTTGATATACAACAACGGCTCATATTCGTAGCATATGAACCAGTTTTCCAAATTACAAGTGTAACAATCCACGTAACATCGAAACCAGCAGGTTGCGTAACAGCGTGAGACAGTTATTACTATATTTACTAAATTTATGCAAGTAAAATATAACAAAACCAATATTTGCTGTCAATCCACTGTCAACTAATAACCCCAGACAGTCTAAACAATTATGTCGATACTTGACCAGGCCAGGGATCGACTCTGTTTTTTCGGGCAATGAAATCGATCTTGCGTCGCATATCTTCGTCATAAATAGCCTTGCAAGTTTCGTACGCGATTCGTCGACGCTGTTTGTACGGCTTTTCAAAATATCTCGTTCTGCGGTATATGTCCAGAAGACCTTCACGACTCATAAACCTCAATAAAACGCAACAGTTGAGGAATTACTGAATAAATCAAATTCAGAGCCAATCTCAAGCATATAAGCCAATTTTACAAAACGTTATAAATAATTTGTCAGTTTATCTACACTAATTAACCACTTTCATGCACTCATTTAAACTGCTAGTTTTATTATACCGCCTGTTTATTCATCTTCTGCTGTTCATGAGGCCTAACACGTCGGTAGTTCTTAGTGCGGTAATAAACGAAATGAACATGCTTCCATGAACTGTCAATTTAGACAGAGAAGCTACCTGGTTCCGTTACTTAACTGTCATTGTGCGTCGAAGCAAACGCAGATGTACACAGCCACACCATCGTTCCTGCTCGTTCGTTAGACCAACTGTTTCCATGCCGTACAACAACACCCTCCTGAAAGAGGCAAGGTACATAAGGATCTTGGCGCAGACATTTATTTCCCAACCCGAACATTGCCCAGGTTTTCAAAAGCACTCGAAGCTATGGAGATCCTCATACCTCACTTTGGTTGGATGTTTCCATCGTTGGAGATTATGGAACCGAAACACAAGCTGTCAACCGCCTGAAGCGTTTTACTTCCCTATTCCAAACTGCCACGTGTTAATGAGGTGAGTCCTTTCCGTTGCACTAAATTTCTCAGAGGATTAACAGATTTTTGACATATCCAGTTACAGAAAATATAACTAATTACGGAAGCCTAAATTAATCGATGAAAAAACTATAAAATGTGAACAGATTTGGCTACGGACGCAATAATATTATCAATCTCAGCTCTCACATAATAAAATAAGTTTTAACCAACGCCTGTCGGTAAGTTAAAAAAAATTATAAGTGCTCACTTATTTAGGGTTTTCATCGCGGTATCGACATCGTTATCTTGCACCAACACCGTTTTGTTAGTAAACTTTGGGTGAGCTCGCGTGATGCCCCGAAACAATTTAACCCCAAACGGCTGTCGTAAAGCCATCGAGGAGCCTCGGACCTCAAAAGAACATGCCTAAAATGTTTAAGCGACCAGCCATAACTCTCGAAAACAAGGATTTTTCTGACCGCAATAAGATTCAAAACTGGGCGAGATCTAAAACTTTTAATCGAACACTACAAGAAGTCAGATAACAAATGACAGCACTTCTTAGACAATACAAAAGCTCATTAAAATCAGTTTCGTTTGAAAACATGGTAAACAGACCTAAAAATTTTAGCACATGTGAGGAACGTATTCTTCCATATAGCACAAAACATTAACCAAGCTTTTCTAATCCAGTAGTAAGCCTTCAAAGCGGTCTCATATGCCGAAAACACCATGGCTCTTGTCCAAACGAGCCATTTTGAGCAAACTGTCTTCACATTAATGGCAACCGCTTTGATTCGACACACATACCATCGAGATGCGTCATAAAATCTCGTAATGGCGTATTTCGTTCGAATATAAGCGAGCATCACAGTTTCCTTTTGTGAAGCAATGAGGCGCAGCAAACTGGCGAAGTTGGAGTTGACGACTATTGCCCGTAGCTGGCTAGGGTAGCTGGCAATCCTTTCAACGGCTTTCTCTCGTTCCCAAACACCTACGCCACGAAGATCGGCATATTGCTCACTGATAAGCAGTTCTTGCATCAGGCGGGAGTACCTCGGTACCTTCTGTACAGCAGACCAGTGTTCGTTGTCGCTCACAGGAAGAACTTTACCATAACCTTTTCTGACCAATTCGCGATTCACGCTGTACTGCAGACCATAAAAGAGCTTCTAGAAAATTCGAGTAATTTTCTCAACCACTCCATTATCATCATACAAATATAAAACAGATATAACAGAATTATGAATTCACGATAAAATGCTAGAAATTAAATTTACGCCAAAAGATTATCTGAATTCATCCAAAAGGAAAACCTAGACCTGGAATTCCATTCATCAAATGATCAGATAATCGCAATAAAGAAAATCACAATAACGTACCAGTGCTACAGAAAAAGAATCGCAAGAAACTCCAAGTTTAGTTTAGCAACTGATTGCCAGACGCCAATGATCCAATTATCAGCAGTTCAGAAGCATTCAGAGCGGGAGGAGAGATCGAATTTCACATGGCTTTCAAGCGTCAAATAATCTCTTACTGGTATGCAGCTAGATCTGTCGTTTCAGCACTGCTGACAGTTGTGAAGTAAGGATCCTACCGCAATAACCCATTAACTCGTATCCTCTTCGGCGTGGAAGTAATGGTGAAAAACTTAATCCCTTCGGTCAATGATGATGCCCAGGACGACTGAGAAGGGGACAGTAGCACATTATGCACCGGAATGAAGTTACATCAATCGTGGAAACGACCAACGTCCTTCGTGATTATACCATCAGTCACATAACATCAATGAACATAGGCTATTCTGTTGCGATGAACTCACACTCGTTTCTTGCAATGAAGAGCTACAGATGAAGTAAATGGTTTTGATTATTTGTAGAAGATTCACTGATTCATTTTAAATACTCATGATTCCACTGTGGTAGACAGAGCCGCTGCCTCAACGGGTGCCTCCCATAGCCTTGAAGGAATATGCCTGCAAAAGAATAACATAAAATTACATTTATTTATTTCATTCCTTACATCTTTTTTCTTCTAACCAGTGGTCACAATTTAAATCGTTCTTAACCTCGATCTCGTTTATACGTAGTTTGTGCCTTTGGTTAAGTTTTCACTGTACATTTTCCTCGAGAAAGACGGAGAAATTATCGGCCTCTATTGACACAAGACAACAATCCTCCAGTGATATTCCAATCATACGTTTTCTTCTTGTTTTTGTTTCACCTCTTAACTTATTTACTTCTCTACCTCGCCTTCTACTCCACTGTTCTCTTCCTCGCCTTCTTGCTTTTCTTCTTACCACAGCCTATTTTCACTTTTTTTCTAACTGGTTCTCTGGACTGACAGCATTTATACACTGATATTCAGAGAGAATGATTCAGATTGTATTGATGATGTAAGGAGTACGTGCTGCTTCTGAACGACCGTTTGGGACAATAATCAAGCAGGTGAAGAACTGTCAGAGTGCGCAACCATGGGTAGTGAAAGCGCTGCAAAGCTTTACAAACGGACAAATGTCATATCTGAAACTCGAAAGGCGCGGGAAGCCTTCAAGACTCCATATAATAGAAAAAGACTATCGCTACAAGCGTCTCTCACCGTTGGAACAGTTTATTTCTGATGTTAAACTATCGTATCAAACGATCTATTTCCAGAAGTGGCCATCAAAATATGCATCTGCAAGAATACCAAGTGCCGCCTAAACCTCTATTCTGATGCGTTCGTCGAAAACACGTCTTTGGTTGCTTATTCCTGATCTATGATATTTCCTCCATCGACTAGGAAACATCGCGGTTAATTTTGGACTTTATTTCAGGCTGGCTTACCAATGGCTCTAATTTTAAATAGCAGGTTCCATACATAGCAGTTATTCAGGTGAGAATACAGCAGATTTCAGGTTCCTTCCCAAAAAAACGGACGCTTATGTCCTCAGAGGGTGAAGCTAGCCAATCCCTTCCTGTCAACTACAGTAATGACAAGGAAAAATCAGTCGACTTCTCTCGTATACCCAATTTAATGCGTTTAATTCGTGATAGGAGGCGATACTTGGATGTATGAATGAAAATCAGTCACGATGACAGGTATGGTAAAACATAGCGAAAAACACGATGTGTTTATACACAACGCAAAAATACGGTCAATCTGATGACTGATCAATACCGACGTCTCAGCCCTTTTTCAAGGGTCAGGAGGTCAGTTCAATGACTTCGAAAGTTCTTCCATTGTTCTCAACGGCCGATACATGTGTAGTAAGGTGAGCTTTCGCTCAGTGCTGTTGGTTAAACAGTTTTTTGTCGACAAGAACGATGAGGTTCATCCAGTAAGAGCAGAGTTTGTATCCTATGTCCCGACTTAAGCTGTCGTAGGACTGGATGATTAATGCCGCGTTCATGCGCCCATTCTGCGACTTCCTCTGATGATGCTGATCCACTTTAACCATTGGGTGTCCTTGCTATGTCTCAGGCTGCGCAATTCAAGAGGTATTTTCACACTGCCAAAGGCGAGACTTGATTCCATTTCCAGGTGCTTCGTTAACACATGTCGCTCACGCTCGTCCGAGATCGTTCATTTTCTCCAGCTTGACACGTGGGTCTTTGTTCCTTGAATGATCGTGTTCCCTGTTTCTCCTACGCAATATTTTACGCAGTTACATGGGAAATAATAAACTTCCCAGTCTAGAGCATGCTGCATTATCAGAATTATTTAATAAAACATTAAGTTAATTGGAGATGCTATACACAATATTAAGTATCTAGTGTGAAGCAATCCTTGAAACTTCTAATAAAAGTTTTATAAAGTAAAATTAAATAACATCCATCAATGAGAATATTGCTTTTGATATTATTGGCTACAAGCTGATTTAAAGTGACTTATTCAATGGTCTATCATATTGTTAACAAATTTAACTAGATAACCACTATCAATACAAATGATTACATAGCACTGTCCTCGCAGTATACTCGTCATTAAGAAAGTACCAAGTATTCTCGTAATAGTTCTCTTCTCATATTAGCAACTGAGGCAAAAGACATTCACCCACTAGAACCATTAAAAACATAAGTCATTAGCGCAACGCCGAAAAATCAGTAAATATGTATCATAAAATGCCACTTACCCGTTTTGAGAGAACTTCGCAGAGTGCAACATCGTCCTTTGACCTTTCTAATAGCGTGAACCACACCGGACGATTTAGAAGCGTTTTTCGTAGCCAATCTTCGCCAATATCCGTTATATTGACTCCCGCCAAACCAATTTTGATATTTGAAATATTCTGCTCTATTTAATAAATGACAGAAATGAACTCAGAACATAAAAATAATGTTTACCTTACTTTTAGTAAAAAACCTGAGTATCGGAAAATGATCCACAATTAACCGACCTCCAGGAGTCACATCCTTCACTGAACCTCTCAAACGAACGTTTTTGACAAAAAATTCTTCCGGTATGTCAGCTGCATTTTTAAAATGACTGAACTAAAATGGCTGATTTAAAAAAATCTCTTAAAATGAAAAACAGAATAGGTCCCTATGTTATGATTAAAACATACTATATCAACTACCGATGTTTCAGCGAAACAAAATTTGCCCTCTCCAGTGCAAACAATCGCTGTTTGCTGGAGGATGACGAAAGTCGTTTTGTTGAAACTTCGGCAGCGGCAGTTTTAAGAAAAACTTTAATCTCGGTCTACTGTTTGACTAGAAACACTGAAGCATCACTCTTTCCTTGTCACCGTTATCTTACGTTTGAGAATCCTAACCATGCATAAAAACAGTTCAGCGATCAGTTACGTAATATGTACCCAGAATCGAAATTATTACGAACTACCATAATTTATATAATTCTGTGCTAACTAATAACCAACTTTTTCATATTCTGTTGCCTTCACGTTTCTTCCGGAACTGCTCTGCATGTAAATCTTATTATAAGAATCGCCCACGTTTCTGGAGACACTTGGTTTGCTGTCAAGGGATCTCTTACCCGCATCAAAGAACGACGTTGACTTTTAAAACTTTAAATTTGCCGCATTATATAGTCAGTCAATTCAGTTTCATGACCCAATATTTTTTTCGGGTGGCAGACATAGCAGGAAGCGCAACAGAAAGCAGCCTTCGTGGAAACCGGAACCAACGCTGTAAAGTCTCGACTTACTGCTATTTAATCTGACGAAAATCTTGGTATCAACATATAGTGTATTGATGGCTGGTAGCAACTCGTTAGTTATTACTTGTTGGTAGCCACGCCAATTCCTTGTTGCGCATGACTCGATAATAAAATATTCAAGATTCGCAAATCACTTGTAAAACGGATGAGCGAAATCTTATGATTTCTCTATAATCTGGTGTAAGGCGAAGATTTGGTCAGAAACGGTCGATCTGACCTGACGCCATACAGCCTTTTTGTGCCTTAGAATGAGTTATTCCGCGGGGTACTACTATTTCAGTTCTCCAGTCCACTGGTGTCTTCTCCGTAAACACTGCAGTTTCACAGACAAATGTTAACCACC